ATCTGTGGGCACTGGATAGTTCATTCATGGCACAATGTTTATTCCTGTTTTCCACGTCAGCGCTGTTTGATCCGTTAATAACGGAGAAATGTGAATGTTTCTCACTAGATCTCGCTGCGATATTATTACTTCAGTGGCAAATTCAACTGCTTTCTTTACTGGATCTCTTAGTGCTGTGTAGTAACAGTGTCGCTTGATCAAGACGCTGGATTGGTCCAAACTGATAAACGATCCGTCAACCACACAATAACGAGTAGCGCAGCTGCAGTTTCGTTCCGCTTACATTACGTTTGCTATTTGATGTTGGGCAATGTTGTGGTCGCGGCAGCATCTCTTACATTATGAGCACGCTTGCCACGCCCCTACATTTTAAATAACGAAATTTTGGTCAGCAGGAAAAATAGTCCAACAAACCGTTCGGTTTGTAATGCACACTGAACCGAAAGCCTCGTACCGAACGGTTCAATACGAATACGAAAATATATATGTATATGTGTGTGTGTGTATATATATATGTATGTGTGTGTGGAATGCTTTATATCAGGCTTGATGTAATTTTACTTGATTTGTGATTTAATAACTGTTTCATTTCATTGATTCGAGTACTAAAATTTTCTATGCATCTCTGCTGCAAGCTAAACCACAACAGTGGCGTTTGTATTTATTTATTTTACATGTGTATTTTTTTGCTTTGATTGTAGCTGCTGTCATGAAATGGGACCCAGCTGCAACAGAGGCCCGAATAAAGTCTGCAGCCGATCATCTGAAACATGCCCCCGGGAGAGTCGGGGCTTGCCGCTATAAATGAAGCTTGTGAAGCTTATAGCAGCCACATTTTGTTAATTGATATGTTATACTGTTTTAACAACATTTTATAGATTATTTAAAGGGAAATTGTGTTAATTTATAACTTTACTGTTCTGGCTTTTAAGTTTTGGTCCAGTAGAACAAAATAGTAATAAAATATATATTTTGAGATTTAAATAGTTGATTTCTTGGAGTGATCAGTTTGGTTTACAGGCAAATGGTAAGCAGTTTATTACAATTATATTGATAAGATATACAAATGCAAGACTTGTATATACACTACACAGTTCCCGTATTCAATTGAGTATTCAATATTATCAAAATTCTTTCAAATCTTATTTAGGTCTATGGTCTGTGTGTCTGCAGTTTCATGACACGACAACCATTAACAATGAGTAACTGGGTCTTTCTCAGTGAGAACTAACTCACTGCCACTGTTTTGAAGTAAAGATTTTTTAAAGTTGGATCCTTGCAAAATGCACAAATGGGATTTCCGTTTCAATATGGGTCTTTAACAGTCTTCTTTGACATTTATACTACAGAAAACGTGACTAATACAACTTTTATTCTGGCTGCCTTTAGATGTCTAACAATTACGTCTGTAGCATGTCTTTAATTGACGTCTAAACAATGTCCAAAATTTTTTTATAAAAAACGTTCATTCTGGCTCCTGTGAAGACGTCTTCTGGATGTCTAACAATTACGTCTGTAGCACGTCTTTAATTTACGTCTAAACAACGTCCAGAAAAGACGTATAAAAACCTTTCATTCTGGCTCCTGTGAAGACGTCTTCTGGATGTCTAACAATTACGTCTGTAGCACGTCTTTAATTTACGTCTATACAATGTCCAGAAAAGACGTATAAAAAACTTTCATTCTGGCTCCTGTAAAGACGTCTTCTGGATGTCTAACAATTACGTCTGTAGCACGTCTTTAATTTACGTCTATACAATGTCCAGAAAAGACGTATAAAAAACTTTCATTCTGGCTCCTGTAAAGACGTCTTCTGGATGTCTAACAATTACGTCTGTAGCACGTCTTTAATTTACGTCTAAACAACGTCCAGAAAAGACGTATAAAAACCTTTCATTCTGGCTCCTGTGAAGACGTCTTCTGGATGTCTAACAATTACGTCTGTAGCAAGTCTTTAATTTACGTCTATACAATGTCCAGAAAAGACGTATAAAAAACTTTCATTCTGGCTCCTGTGAGGACGTCTTCTGGATGTTTAAAAATTACGTCTGTAGCACGTCTTTAATTGACGTCTAAACAACGTCCAGAAAAGACGTATAAAAACTTTCATTCTGGCTCCTGTGAGGACGTCTTCTGGATGTCTAACAATTACGTCTGTAGCACGTCTTTAATTTACGTCTAAACAACGTCCAGAAAAGACGTATAAAAAACTTTCATTCTGGCTCCTGTGAGGACGTCTTCTGGATGTTTAAAAATTACGTCTGTAGCACGTCTTTAATTGACGTCTAAACAACGTCCTGAAAAGACGTATAAAAAACTTTCATTCTGGCTCCTGTGAGGACGTCTTCTGGATGTCTAACAATTACGTCTTTTAGACGTATTATAGACGACTGTTTGCTCGCTGGGTATCATCTCTTTGGTCTTATCCAAATTCATCTCTAAACAAGACTCTTCACACCACTTCACAAACTCCTGCAGAGCTGGACTATGACCATGGAGGGAACCCGAGAGCAGAGACAGGACGACTGTGTCATCTGCAAATTTTACAATGTGACAGTTAGATTGAGTAGACCTGCAGTCATCTGTGTAGAGGATGTAGAGGAGGGAAGAAAGGAGGACACACCCTTGTGGCGAACCTGTTGACGTAATCCGAACTTCTGAGTAGGTGTCATTGACCAGAACCCTCTGTGTCCTGTTGGTCAGAAAGTCTATAATCCACAAGATAAGTTGATGACTAAGGCGAAAGTGGTTAATGAGCTTCTCTGCCAGGATGTGTGGCTGCATGGTGTGAAATGCAGACGAAAAGTCAGCAAACAAAATTCTGGCTGTGGAGTTTGGAGTTTCCAGATGTTTGTGGATATTGTCTAGGATGAAATTTTTTGCATCGTCGACCCCCTTGCCCACCCGATATGCAAATTGAAGCATCAATGGATCAGACACCTTGGTGATGTAATCCTTTATGAGTCTCTCCATGGCCTTCATTACCAGAGAGGTCAGGACCACAGGCCTGAGGTCATTCAAGATTTTGGTGGTACCCTTCTTGGGTATTGGAATCACCGTTGCTTCCACAGCTTGGGGACTGTGCTGTTGTTAATAGAACACTGAAACAGGTATTGGAATACACCCCCCAATTGCTCAGCACAGTGCCTAAGGGTCCGCCCACAGATATTATCTGGGCCTGGCGCCTTATTTACTTTAGTCCTCTTAAAGGCGCCGATCACTTCTCCAATTCCAATAGTGATACCACAATCATCACATTTACCTCCACAGAGCGATGTAATGTTTATTCTGTCTAATTTTCCAGCTAACCGGGTTGCTATGGTTACAGATGATGGATTCCTCACTGCAGTTCAGGATTAGAGTGTTGATTTGTGATGTCACTTCCTGTGCAGAGCATCTGTTGTTCTGATAGCTAGAGTTTATCATGAGGTCATGAGCTCTGCATGTGAAGTTCACAGTACAGGAGTCACTGCTGGAGTGTGAGTTTACAGTCAGAACAGGAGCCTCTACAGCGTCTGAAACACACATTTACTCCAAGATCAGAATCAACTCACAGCCCAGTGATGTAAAAAGGTTTAAATGCTTGTTTTGGCGAATAGAAACCAAAGTAGTGATGCAGTACACATTTAAATCTGAAGACAACACAAAGATATTTTTTTAAATTAATTTTTCTCTTCCCAAAAATACTTCTTTAACCACATTATTTATGTGCATAATATATAAAAGTGAAAATTAAACACAAATTACTCTTATGAATTGTTGTTTATGCAGGAACTCATTAAATCACACAATGAAATGAGACTCAACTATAACAGATACTCTGTATGTAACAATATTGTTCTCTGAATCTCCACTTGCTCTTGCTGTATAGAGTCCACTGTCTGTCTTCTGTGTGTTCTTCAGTGTGAGAGAGAAAGTTTCATCATTGAAATCCACTCTGTCCTTGTAGGAAGGGAGAAGTTTTACTTCTTTAGTTCCACGTATATATTTAACTATATTCTCTGATTTATCATTTCTCCAGGATAAAAGATCAAACTCTGGTAGTTTCTGTGTCTGTATATCCAGTTGAACAGAATCTCCCGTCTGCGCAAACACAGAGATCTCAGCACTGAACCCTGAGGAGAGAGAAACACATTCGGACCCATTTTACACCTCCATCTTACTCCATCATCAACTCTTACTCCTGTATTTGTTTAGGTGAATAAATAAATCATAAGGCTCATTGGTTCAGTAATTTGTTGGGGCTGTGCTCACAGTAATATAAATGTGGTATAAAGACACCAGACAGAAGTCTGATTACTGTAATACAGCATTAAGATCTTGGTCAAGGACATGGCAAACATCAAGTCAACCGGACCAACTGTCATATACTGTATGTTTTATTATTTTTACATCATCACCAGCTGACTGAATTCGTAAAGCATTTCAGAGTGAGGCTTAATCCATGAACATAAAATACTTGCTTCTATGATACATGAATCATGAAATATAACTAAAATATTTCTAAGTTACTGTATAACTTTAGGGGCTTTAAAGCATCAGCACTATCACTTTGTGTTTTAACCCCTGAAAAACTGGTGTATGTAAACAGATATACATTTGTTTTTCAATCCCTAATGTAACAGAAATGATTCTTTAGCACTCTAGTGTTAGTAAAGTTAGAGACGAATCACTTAGTGCTTTAGTCTCATCAGGAGCAGAACTAGCAGACTAAACATAATGCTTTATATAAGCGACATTATAGATAAAGCACTAGAGAACAATACATTTCAGTTATTTATACACATTTAATAACTGAGTGTATTACCTGTGTTACAGATGAGGAGAAGAATGAAGATTGTAAGCAAACAATCTACTGCCATTGTAACAAACATCAAGATGTTCCATAATGTTGGAATATGGAACAATAATTTCCATATTCCAACATTCTTTAGCTACTAAAGAATAATTTTTTTAGGTATAAATATCAGGGTTTTTAAATATTTGTAAGATGGATATACCTTTATTATTCTTGCAGCAACAGTAAAGGAGCAAACCAGAAAACACCATCACTATCACTGCCACAACACCAAACACAATAAACATACGACTAAACGGCATAAAATGGTGAGTTTTGATTTGTAGTCTTTCATAATCTGGAAAGTGAAAGATGAAGAACATAATAATTAGTCTATAGTAAGCAGACTTTATTTGTGAGATTAAAAATTAAAAGCAGATATTCACCTCTACAGAGTTGTTTTATATTAATTCTGACTTCCTTCCAGCTGACAGTGTTGCTATGGTTACAGAGGATTGATTCCTCACTGCAGTTCAGGATGAGATTGTAGTTCTCATGTGATGTCACTTCCTCTAGAGAGCAGCTGCCATATTGAAAAATGGAGCTGAGTGTGAGGTCATGACCTCTACATGTAAAACTAAAAACAACACAGGAAACACTGGACCAGTGTGGTGCCCCTAGGGACATTATTCAGAATTACCTTGCATATACATGTACTTTTCCTCTCACATACACATATAAAACCAAATTCATTCACATACTATAATGAAATGCTCACACACATACAAGTGAAATGCTTTGACAACCACAACTGAAACGCTCTCATACATACAACTGAACATGTTAAGCTCACACACACAACTAAAACGCTCACACACACACAACTGAAAATATTATGCTCACACACATAACTGAAACACTCACACACACACAACTGAAATGCTCACACACATACAAGTGAAATGTTTTACAAACACAACTGAAACGCTCTCATACATACAACTGAAAATATTACGCTCACACACACAACTGAAACACTCACACACACACAACTGAAATGTTCACACACATACAAGTGAAATGCTTTTACAAACACAACTGAAACGCTCACATACATACAACTGAAAATAATACGCTCACACACACAACTGAAACGCTCACACACACACAACTGAAATGCTCACACACATACAAGTGAAATGCTCTCACACACACAAGTGAAATGCTCACACACATACAAGTGAAATGCTTTTACAAACATAACTGAAACGCTCTCACTCACACAACTGAAAATCATTTCAGTATGTTGTATGCAAGCATTTCAGTATGTTATATGCAAGCATTTCAGTATGTTGTATGAAAGCATTTCAGTTGAAACGGAAGCACATTTCAGTTGAAACGGAAGGTGGTTAGAGTCCCCGCCCACTCCAGCAGGGTTGCCAGATGCCAAGGTTTTCCATCACAAAACCTCGCCAAAAACTGCGAGAATGCACAAAAAACCGCCCAAATTTGTTTTGGCTTGTTTCTCGTTTAAACACAGTGAAATCATTAACAAGCTTCAAAATTACCCATGGTCTGTGTACTTTTGCGTGCATTCGTTTTTCCCTTTTTAACCCGTAATTGAAAAACGAAAAATGGTTGTTGTAGGCCCTATTTTTAAAACGCAAAGTTGAACACCAAAATTTGAATTTGAATTGTATACACCACAGGGCTCGACATTAAGGCTTGTCCGGGACAAGTGGATTTTTTGTAGGACAAGTAGGCCTAGAGGAGAAAATTAGTTGTCCGACCGGACAAGTTATATTTCAAACAAAATAAAATGCCATGTTACTTCACGTTATGTGCCACTCGTTACGTCTATTTTACAGATTTAATTTTACCGATTTGAAACGAACACATTTTTTCGCGCTGCCTGTGAATGTCCTGAATGTGACTCACAGAAAGACGCGCGCCAGAAGTTCTCTTTCGCGCTTGAACGAACATCAACAACACACACAATTAAGCCAAAATGTCATTTGTCGAGTATCTTCATAACATAAGAACAGTCTTATGATGGACATAAAGAGTTGTGACTCGTGAGAGAATGAGGCGCGTGTGATATCCGCGTCTCTGTCCACAGCGGCTGCTCTTAAAGGGCCAGCTACCAATAAAGCGTTCTGTCAGTGTAGTATCTTGGAGTAACCACTAGGTGTCATTGTATTAAAAAGTGTTGTGTTTGATCCTGGAAGACAGTTGAAGAAGATGTGACATGCAGGAGGCATGGTGTGTGTATGTCTGTTGCAACAAACTAAGTAAAGTATTCACTTTAACTTTATTCATGTAGTAGTCTGCTTCTTGTAACGATACTACATTTTGGCGACGAGGATTGTGACACCCAGAGAAAAAAAAAGCCTATGATGACAACAGATTGAGGATTAACCATGGCTACAGGAACTATTGGCTCACTAGCAGCATTTGATGCAAAAACTCAAACATGGGAAGAATATTCTGAAGTACTGGAGCAATTTTTCGTGGCTAATGGAATCGAAGATGAGGGTAAGCAAAGAGCTATTCTCATAAGTGTTGTGGGACCACAAACTTACAGTGTGATGCGAAATCTTCTTAGCCCAACAAAACCAAGTGAAAAGACTTATCAGCAACTGGTAATGATGCTAAAAAATCATTTCAATCCGAAGCCAAGTGAGATTGTGCAGCAATTTAGATTTGATTCAAGAATGAAGAAGCCGACAGAGACGGTGACAGAATATGTAGCAGAGTTGCGTCGTCTGGCACAAGATTGTAATTATGGAGCAACTTTAAACCAAATGCTGAGGGATCGACTTGTGTGTGGCATAGATGATGATCGGATTCAGAGAAGGTTGCTCTCAGAAGCAAATCTGACATTTGAGACTGCTTTTAAAATTGCAGTAGCCACTGAAGCCGCAAGCAAAAATGTGCTCGATTTACAAAATAAATCCGGTGTACAGGCATGTAACAGCGTCATGTTTAAAGAGAGGAAACCTGATCGCTGGAAAAAGGGAGAAACTTGTGAACAAAAAGAATTCAAGGAATGCTACAGATGCTGTGGAACAAACCACAAAGCAAACGATTGCAGATTTAAGAAGGATAAATGTTATGTGTGTGAAAAAATAGGTCATATTGCCAGGGCCTGTCGCAACAAAAGCAAACAGAGTGGACCCGCAATAAGTGGAAAAGGGGTGCGTCCGCATCGAGCATTCAATGTAACTGAAAATAAGGATAGTGATGAATTTGAAGAAACATTTACTTTGGCATGTGTACAAACTGATGCACTGAAGAAAGTAAAACCCCTCACTGTTGAGTTACATGTTGATGGCAGACTGATAACCTTTGAGATTGATACCGGCTGTAGTGTCAGTCTTATGAGTCAGGAAATGTACAAGGTCAGCTGGAAAGACTCTGAAGCTCCCAAACTGAGACTTACAAAAATCAAGTTGAGAACGTATACAGGGGAGCCATTGGGGATAGTGGGTGTGGCTGATGTACAAGTAAAATACCAGCAGCAGGAAAAGTTAATGCCACTTGTTATAGTGAAAGGAAAAGGGCCATGCTTACTAGGACGATCCTGGCTGGAAGAACTCCAAATGCAGTGGAGTGAGATAAAGCTGGTGCAGTCGGAGATGACGTTGCAGCAGGTGCTATTCCAGCATGAGGAAGTTTTCAAGGAGGAGCTGGGGACATTAAGGGGCACTACTGCTACTCTTCATGTGCCGACTGATGCCACACCCAGGTTTTTCAGACCTAGATCTGTGCCATTTGCCCTGAAAACAAAGGTGGAGGAAGAGATTAATCGACTGCTGCGGGACAAAATCATCTCACCTGTTAAGTATTCAGAGTGGGCAGCTCCTGTTGTTCCTATCTTGAAACCAGATGGCAGTATAAGATTATGCGGTGACTACAAACTCACAGTCAACAGAGTGTCAACATTGGAACAGTATCCAATACCAAGGGTGGAGGACCTTTTTGCTCAGTTGGATGGAGGAAAACGGTTTACAAAACTGGACATGAGTCACGCATACCAACAAATTATCATGGATGAAAGCTCCAAGAAATACTTGACAGTGAATACACAAAAGGGGTTATTCACATATAATCGGTTGCCTTTCGGAGTTGCTTCAGCTCCTGCTATCTTCCAGAGAACAATGGAGGGATTGTTGCAAGGTATTCCTGGAGTAGTTGTTTATCTGGATGATATATTGCTGACTGGTGTAAATCAAGAAAGTCACTTGAAGACACTGGATGAAGTGCTGGTCAGACTGAAAGAAGCTGGTTTGCGATTGAAACGAGGAAAATGTGTGTTCCTGGCAGATGAGGTGGAATATTTAGGCCACCGAGTAGATGCACAGGGTTTGCATCCTGTGGCAATCAAAGTGAAAGCTATTGAAGAAGCACCAGAACCAAGTAGTGTTGCAGAACTCAAAGCATACCTGGGCTTGCTGAATTATTATAATAAGTTCCTTCCAAACCTGGCAACGCTGCTAGCTCCCCTACATCTGCTGCTGAGAAAAGATGTTCACTGGATGTGGAAAAAGCCACAACAAGAAGCTTTTAAAGAATCTAAATCCCTACTAAAATCAGCAGAGGTGCTATTTCATTACTCCTCCGATTCTGAACTGGTTCTGGCTTGTGACGCCTCTCCATATGGGGTTGGTGCAGTGCTCTCGCAGCGTAGAAAAGGAGAGAGTGTGGAGAAACCCCTTGGGTTCATGTCAAGAACACTTACGTCTGCAGAGAAGCGTTATTCACAGTTGGACAAAGAGGGCTTAGCTGTGATTTTTGGCATCCAAAGATTCCATAAGTACTTGTATGGTCGGGCATTCACTATTTGCACTGATCATAAGCCCTTGATCCATTTGTTCAATGAAACGAAGGCAGTTCCTCAAATGGGATCACCCAGAGTGCAAAGGTGGGCTGTAATGTTACAAGCATATCAATATAACATTGTGTACAAGCCAGGAAAGTATCATCAAAATGCTGATGCTCTGAGTAGACTCCCAGTGCCAGGTGAGGGAGAACCTGACGATACTAATGATCAAGTGTTGATGATGGACTTAATGGATGACTCGCCTGTAAGTGCAACACAAGTGCGGAAGTGGACGTCACATGACATAACACTCTCAGTGGTACATGAGTACATATTAAAGGGTTGGCCTGAGAAAGTAGAGCCTCACGTGTTGCCGTACCATCACAGGAGAGATGCTCTGAGTGTCAAGGATGGATGTGTGACTTGGGGAGCGAGAATCATCATTCCATCACAAGGTCGAGCTGCTGTATTGAAGCAGTTACATCAGA